CTGGAAGAACAGGATATCTCTCGGAAGCCGTGGGTCATTATCTTGGTTGCCTAATTCCATCAGTCTGGGTTCGGGTCGCAAACCGGTAGGGTAGACAGGGACGTATACGGTGCGGTACAAGAACGAGCCGAGCGTCTCCGCGCCCTGAGCAAGCAACAGCCACTCGGCATCTCTGCCATCACTCGGCAAGGTCAACTCCGCTGATCCGGAAGCACGAACGTCGACCTACGGTATTGAGGGCGTGTTATGAAGCAGACGTCTTTGGTGCTTGCTCAATAGACGTCTGCCTAGGGGAGACTAAGTCTTTCCTATCGTACAAGCTTAAGGGTGTTCGTTCCGACGGGGCGCCTATACACAGGACTGCAGACGCTCAACGGGCGCTTAATGCACTAATCCATAATCTGTGATAACCCCTACTTTTGGGCACTTCCCGATAGGTATGGGTTAAGAGGGTGTCGACTGTACCTGCCTATCGACGCCCAATTAGTCGTCCGCCGCATGCCTCAGTGCTTCTCTCCAAACCCATTCTACGCCCGTTGCCCGGCCGATCCCGCCCGATCCGTCACATTGGCCACCGCTTCTTCCTACTCAAAGCACTCTGGATATTCTGAATTTTGGGCTTCCCAAAGCCGGCTCACCTGGTTCACTAGTAGGTGTACGCTACGGTCCGGAGTTGGCCCAATGTTCGAGCTCAATCAGCGCGCTGACGTGCTTGCTCAGCTTCCGGGGATCATCTCATTGGCAGGTGTAGCTTTGCAGACGGTCGGCGAACTATGTGCGGCGCTCCGTGCGGAATACTCGTCGGATTGTGTGCACCCTACCTTCACTTCAGCAAATTCATACGGACGTACCTCTAAGAAACTGCGCACCACCCTCCCTTAAAACATACTCGTCAGTCATCACTGTTACACACGTAGGCAGTCCGGTAAGTGAAACCTACGTTCATCTCATGCATGTACGTTGACGACGTGCTACGGATTGCTTGGCGCCCGCGAAACATGCCACGTTTGTCTGACTAGGACTTGCGATGTCGCACGATCCATGGAAGGTACGTTTACGCCCCGATCCTCCGCCGTAGACGGTAGGTACGTCATCCGGTTTTCGCAGCATTGCTGCTGGTTTGGGGTCAGCGGACGTCCCTCCGCCGATATGTTTGGTGGAAGAATGCCGGTGTGGCGCACTTCGGCTCCGAGGCCGTGTCAACACTGTCAAGAAGTTCCACCTTGGGTTCCTTTACCGGTATACGGACCGTCTAACTTGGCAGCATAGGAAAACTGAACGATACAGTAGTTCTAGGTGCTGCGGCTTGGGTGTATTCCATGAAGGCACCTGACTATACCCCGCATTCCCACTCGCGCACCGTACACCGACATGCCAAATCCGACCCCGACAGGACCGCCATACTGCCAATTCCCGCTCAGAAGAGCTGGAACCCTTGAGATACACCTCGGCGATTGTCGGTCCCGAGCCCAGCGCGGGAACGACCAGCGCAGAATCATTCCCGCCCAGGCTCATATCCGGTGAGCTAGCAAGACGTACAATCTCCTGTTGAGTATGTCATCGCCTTTACAAAGTCCAAGTATCATCGTTAGCCCTCTCTGTATAGTAATCCACTAGAAGATGCCCTCCGTGACCGCATCCGCTCGGAAGTCGCTACAGACTGTGTTCAAAGCACCACCCACGCCCCAGAAAGCATCCCTCCGAGCACGCCTATCGCAGAGGCGAGGAGCGGCGTGCTCATACCGCCACCGAGTGCGTTCGTGGCAGCGTTGCTCGTCGCGCTTGATGGGCCTGTCATCGTCGTCGTCGAGGTGGTCTCATTCCTGCATCACCACCGCAGGCGCGTCAGTATTCGCATCTCCCGCTCGCTCGAGAGGGGACGCACCCTGTGCTGCCACTCCCGCTCGCGGTGCCGTCTCCGGTGCCACCGCTAGCCGTGCTGGCGCCGGTGGGGCTCGCGCCCAAGCCTGACGTGGGAGTAGTGGTGGTGGTGGCGGCGGAAGTGGTGAGGTGTGAGAGCGCGGAGGCGACGTCGCCCGTAAACACGGTGTAGGCACTGCCGGCGAAGGACGTCACCGCGCCTTCGCCGTCGACTGCGAGCGTGATTGCTGCGCCGGCGCCGTCCTCGATGACCGTGAGTGCCTCGCCCCCGATTGCTGTGCGAACGACCGCGTGTGATCAGACAGAGGTATCCGCGAGAGGCAGCAGGGGAGGGGACGTACAAGTGATGTGTGTAGCGAGGGCACCGACGGCCGAGGTCGCCTTGCTGAATAGCGAGCCCGCTGTACGAACCGCGTGAGTGCCTAGTGTTGCAGCTCCAAGAAGCGACTGTCCCCACCTTCGCCCGTTCCCTGTGACGCAAGGGAATCGAACATAGACGTTAGCGAGCTGATGGCGCTGCCGACTGTCCCGACGATCCAGGTTATAGACAATGCGGTAAGTACCCCCCTCTATCGCGCGAAGGCTTGACCGCATACCTTCACCAGTCTCCTTGGAGGCCAGAGAGCCGGCCACAGACGTCAGCGAGTCTATGGCACTACCAACTGTGGTCAAATGCTCAGCAGGTGCGCCCGTCGAGGGAATGACGATGACTCACTATCTCTCTTCTCTCCTACAACGCGGTGCTCGAAGGTAGCGGCATCGACCATAAGCAAGCCCAGGGCGAGCACCGCGAGTACTGTCGACGTGAACCGGGCAGACATATTGGAGTACGTCGTTCAACTGGACCTGGATTGCGGGTGGCTTGGGGTTGACCTGGGCTTTAGCGGATTCCTGCCCTGTCGGTGTATTTATACACCGTCGTCCTTGATCCAATCTCTGAGGTCCGCTCGAGGGAGACCAGCGCAGGCAGTGCCAACCTGTGCGGCCCCGCAGCGTAACTGTAGACGCGACCTCAGTGGCGGGCCGTGGGAGGGTAGGCAGCTATCACCCGATGTCAGAGTCTGTCTCATCGCAACTGTGCAGTATCAATGATTCGACCACACTTGCCATACTGTGCGCTCAGCACGAGCGCCCGTGGAGACGGATGTCGCACACCTTGAGTTGATCAGTGTGTGTCTTGTACTGAAACTACTCTCCGGTGAGGTCTTGACAGCACGGTACGGGACAACTCCAGAATCGCCTTCGACGTGCAACTGGTCACTCGCCTGACGACCACTATACATAAAGTACTAGGATCCGGGGCGATTCGGGCTACGGCACTCAAACGCCAACTTGAGGTTCTATCGGTGTCGCTAACGGTTACTCAAGAGGATATGTGTTGACCGTCAAGCCCCCCCTTCGTACGTATCATCCACATCAAGTGTGGTCGACTCGCGGCGGCTCACCGCCACGCCTCCGCCACGTTGGGCCCTGCAGCCGCAATCTGTGATATTGCGCGCGCGCGGAGGCGTCCTCGTTCGTCGGGCGGACTGTATCAAACCACACAATCGACCGCTCTTCCTGGCAGTTTTGGTGTATGCGGCGTTGCGGCAGCGTGTGCGCGACGTTCCACAGAGGGTCACCTCAGTTCCCTATAGGGTAGGCCGGTGCTTCACTTCAAGTGTTTGAAGCGGTAACGATGCTCGCCAGAACTGGACGAGGCGCGGAATCCATGTGCCTGTGCTCAGGCGAATGGAGTGCTATGTTTATTTGTCGACGACGTCTAGTGCCTCAGTATACGTCTGTGTGCGGAGAGGTACGGGGTACGGTATCAAGGCTACAATGATTACTTGAGCGTAATGTACATGGCGGAGACAACAAGGGTATATCGAGCTAACAAGGAAACGTCGTGGCCCAGCAATCGGCCATAGCAAGAATATACCAGTGCTCGAAAGCCAGGCGGAGCAAAGAGCCCGCTCATCTGGGTCCCAGTAGGTATTCACCGGCCAATGTGGGACACGAAGGGCGTAACTCACCATACACTAGGGGCATTCCGGCTCAAGTCCCGTGTCCTTCACAGGACGACTCGCACATCTATATCGACTCTCTCAACCCCCCGCATTTCATACGGTGGGCCGAGCTCGCATCTGAGTCCAGCTCGAGGCTCCTCTTCACGAGCGCAGTTGACAGCGCTGGAGGGGTCGTGGTGGAGAGCCCAATGGTCGTCTTCGTCATCGAAGCCCGAGTATGCAGGGCCACCATAGGAGTCGACACACTCCAGCGTCGAGAGCGAACCTCGACGCCCGGCATCCTCGTTGCCGGCGACGGCAAGATGGACGGAGAAGGAGCCGGTGCGCGACGCGCCGCCCCGTTCTCGCCTCGCGCATGCCGAGGAGATGTCGAGGAGGAGATGGGCGGTCAAGGTAGTACATACTCTGTCAGAATGCAGGGCGACTGTGAGTCGACGATGGCCTCTGAAGTTGAACGGGCGCACCTGAAGCAGACAATGCTAGCAAGTAGTATACCCTCCAACATACGACATCCGGTCACCGCGCAAGCACTGGTGAGGAAGGCATTCACCTACCAATATATGTAGAAGGAGATGACCTCCAGGTCGAATGCACTGGTGTTCTTGGAGGACATGGTATTAAGAGGGGCCGTGTGAGTCTTCGGAGACAAGAGAGGTGAAGGAGATACAGGCACAACGAGCACATTCCAGATATGTCCGAACGTGCGAGCGGCGAAACTTTGCGAATGTGTTGCCAGACCAACGTAGAGTTCGATGGTGTCGCCCCCACAGTAGACGATGTTCAACACCATTGCTTCCATGGGGTATGAGCTCGAGTTCCAACCACCGATGGGTTGCCTACCTTGCTCTGGTTGGCCGATATCGCGAAGCTGCCACTGTGGCATCACAACAGGCCACATAAGGCGCTGTGCAAGGTATCAGACGGTCACCGGCTGTGTGCATCGTGTTTCCTTTTTCCTCGCTCGTTAGATGTACCATGCGCAGTACACTGCGTTTTGGATGACCTTCCGCGCAAGATCACCATACGTTGGTTACGGCCAGGCAGTGTAAACGAACCAGGGGAGTCGGTCGTGGTGGCTTGCTAGCGACGCGATGTGAAGGAAGAAAAAGCTACACTGAGCGGGAGTCGAACCCGCGCCGCTTGCTACCCCAGGAGTGGAAGGCAAGCATGATACCGTTTCACCATCAGTGTACTGTCGTTCTCGGCTCTTGCATACATGACTGTATGAGCAGAGAAGAATTCGATGAACATGATAAGGGATTCGGATACAGCCACACTACCTAATGCAAAAGATCGCAGCAGGAAAAGATACGGGACAGCAGTATTTAGTGGAAGGATGCGTACAATCCTGTACATGCGGATAGGTACCATGACCTCTGACGGCGCGATTCCGGCCGCGAGAGGCGGTACCGCGGCCGCGGCGGCTGCGGAAGAGTCGTTGTAGTAGTAAGTAGTACACCGGCTGTAAGCAGCACAGAATCTGTCAGAATACTATCACTAGATACGGCAAAGAGGCTCAGTCACAGGTCCATGGAGACGTTGCTTTCGTTGTGCTTCGTTGTCCATCCTACGCAGCTGGGAGCAAAAGAAAGCCTGATCCTGTTCGTGGTCGCGGTCGTATCAAGTTCGTCAGTGTGCGTCGTTATTTAAGCCGAAACGATGTTGATGGCGCTCATGTGAGCGATGAGGTCGCGCGTGCGCCCCGACCGCGGGCGAAAGGCACAGGTGAAGTCCTTGGGGTGGCTTCGGCGGCGCATGGCTCCAATTCAGTCATAAGCCCCAGATGCAGAGCAGAGACCGCCCTCACCTAACAAAGCCCGAAATGAATGCGGCCTCCGGGACGATGTCCCGTCCATACGCGTCTTTCGCGAACGTAAGGTCCATGGCGGCGATGATGTTCGCCGCAGCCAGCCACACGCCCACCTCTGCGAACGCCTGGCCGGGGCAGACGCTGCGGCGCAGACGTCGTGAGTACGGGTGACCTGCAGGTGGCCTCAACGCGGACTGTCTGTACTCACCGACGTCCAAATCCGAAGACGACATCCCTAGGGTCGGTTCGCTCCAACTCCTCCGGTGACATGTTCAGGTACCGCTCGGGGTAGAACCTCTCCGGCTCGGGGTACACGTCCGGGTCCTGCGTCATCCACCTGTCCAGGGCGCGTCAGCTGATGCGAGCAAAGACCGGTGACAGATGAACGGACCAGATGTTCGGTATGACCATGGCGCCCTCCGGGATCGTGCACCCACGGTAGACGTCGTCAGACTGGACCCGGTGCGGGACACCTACAGAAGCCCACAACGTCAGCGTACTCGTCAAATTACGGCACGCGTGCTTACCGAGGGGCACCGGCGCATTCCATCTGGAACGATCGACAGCTCGGTTATCGGCCGTACGGGTGAGCCGGAGACGGTCGACACTCACCGGAAGACCTCCTTCAGGACGGCATCGAGGTACAGCAGGTTCTCCCTGTCCTCGAAGTCGGGAAGTCGGTCGGGGCCAATGACCCTGTCTATCTCCGCCTGCGCCTTCTTGTAGACTTCGGGATGGAGGACCATAGCCAGAACGAAAGTCTTCAATGCGGTCACGGTCTGAACGCTCTCGTGAGACGCCGTACGGATTCATAAACCAGGACACGGAGACTGACCGTATCGGTACCCGCTGTACGAGTCGTTAGCGGAAGCTATAGTCGGCGTGAGTAGCGGACGTACCTGCGTAGATCACGCCAGCTGCTCCTTTGATGTCGTCTTCGCGGGCAGCGGTGAGACCCCCGGCCGATAGCGATTCCTCGAGTAGATCGACCGTAAACGATGAGGCCGCGGTACCAGCGCGCTAGACGGTTGAATAAGCGCAAGCGTCGCCAAGAGCATGACCCGTCCTACCCATGCGCTCTTGACCATGTCAAATGGCGTATCCAGGGTCTTCTTAATCAGCCTCCTCACGTTGAATGCACGATGCTTGAAGCCGGATCCAGGTGCCCATAAAGGGAGGCCTTTGACTGACCGAGAGTTGTTCAGATAGTAATCTCAGCCAATGGAGGGAGGACTTACGGATAGGGAAAAAGTCAACCAGCATCGACCCTGGGCTACCAGCCCTCACAGTTTCAACCGTGGTCTTTTCTGCGAGGGCGATAAAGCTGTCGTCAATGGACGTAACACGGTGACCGTATGCGATCTCCATGATAATGCCTGCCGCCCAGCTGTACGTGGCCATTAGTCCAATTGTATACGCCCGTGGAACGGGATTGCCCACCGCTTGATATGCTCCATGAAGAGTTCGGGCCGCTCACAAAGGCCCGACAATAGGGTGTACGTCTCCCGCCGCTGGATCGGCCGATACCTGGCCAGGGCGGGCTCGGACGTGAAAGCTTTCTGGAGCCACCCACGGTGCTTGCGAAAGCGAGCGCCGTAAGGAAGGTTGTTCAGCACGTTGTCCCAACCCATCCTGCGAAGGGCCAGTCAATATGCGCAGGGCGCTGAAGATAAGCGGAACGCTCACAGCTCCGAAAGAAGGATAAACCTAGGCCTGTCGGAGTAGTTCGCACTGCGCTTCTCCATCAGATCGATGGCGGCCTCGCGCGAGTTTAATACTACGGCGGGGGTGCGGAAAAAGCGCGCAAAGACAACGTCCCCTGCAGCGACCGAGTGATCAGTGGCGACTTCGCAGAGATATGGGCGTGAGCATACCGTACTGCCTTCCCCACTCGGCGAGCTTTCTCTGCTGATATTCTACGGGGAGCTGATGGACATTGCCCAACACCGGTATCGCGGGAGGACCAGGAGGATAGCGGCGCTTGTCACCGTCGAAGCCGCGGGTGCACACCGCACGGATCACGACAGCGATGAGGACAAAAATCGACAGCGCGGAGGCACTCGCGAGAAGGGGAACCTCGAAGGCCATGGTGGGGGATCCTGAGGTGAATTGGTACAGGCGGGGCAGGGCGGGGCATGCCATATGTACTTATACATCCCACTCAATACCATCTTCAATCTCAGTAGAAGCGGGGAATCATCACGACGGACAAGGCGAGCGGCAACTGTCGGGGAAAGGACCTGTCTGAGTTGCACAGGCTTCGAGCCCGCCCGGCGGTAAAGCGCGCGCTTTGATAGACGCCTGTCGTCAAATGCCTAGCGGGGAGCGCGGTGGCCGGAGGTGGCTACCGGACACTGTAGAGTGGAGCGAATAAACGTACAGACTGAGTTTGAAACGAGGTCTGACCGAAAATGTTTTCTGTGAAAATCATGAAGCCTCGGCGACTAGATGGAAGTTTTCTGTTCGAGCTCCGTTCTAAACGGATGCTGTGAATGGCTTCACATGTGACGGCATCTGCCACCGGCGTTGAAGACAAGTTTACTCGAGGTATGGCTATGGCCGGTGCGCGCCCACCCGTTACCGCATGATGGCACCTCACCCACGGTTTTGCCAGGGTCGATGGCCCGGGATTACGTCTGAAACGCCGAGGATATGGGTTGTTGCGGGCCTTACACATCTCATGTTACTATGTGGGCCGGAAAGCTGTCATTACGAAGAGGTATGAGTATGCGGTATTGAATTGTTATCTGAGACATGAGAACCGCCGAGAGATATCGAGCACTCACTGCCGCACCGCAACGTCGTTTCCCTTCACTCCGGCTCCTCACTGAGCTGGTATAATCGTCGTCTTGGTGGAGTCGGAGCGTATTAGGGAGATGAAGCTACCGACCAGTGTGATTGAGGAGGCAGCGAAACAGCTTCCGCACCCCAAACCGAGAGCAGTGACGTAATTGCTGGTCGAAGAGAACGGTGGCGTTCGAGAATCCATAAGTCGCACATCAGGGGTTCGAGGGGAACGGCGAGCTTTGGACTGCAACTCAAGCCTTCCGATATTGGATCAGCGGGGACGGCAACCGTCGTCGGGCGCAAGCGCTTCGGTTGGTATGGGTGAGTTGATTGCGATTCTGCACTGCGCTCACCCGTGGTTCCCCTCATGAATAGGTATGAAATGGCGTAACTTGCTCTGTTTAATGCTGTTTTTCTTCGTGCTCGTACTCGGTTCGGACGCACGTCGCAGAGTTCACGGCATACGAGGCGGTGACGTGCATCTACGGGCGTAGAACCAAGATGGTCTCCCCCTCGTACATGCCCAACTACAATGTTGGAAGTCATAGCTTAAAATGAACTGGAGAGTAAGTGGAGGAGCAGGAGGAGCTCCCCCAGCATGCCGACGGGGATGGACGGAGGTAAGTAGGAAGCAGCCGCAAGCGCCCGGTTGTAGGTCCAGGCTGTCCAGCCGAGTGTCGGCAGTTCCCGAAAACTCCTTGCTCTCCTTACCACACATCTCGCCGAGCCGTACCCTGCGACCCCATATACTATCAGTAATCGAACCGACTTGACGGTACACGAGCTGTGGCATTATCTTCTTCCACTAGGGCGCCGACTCTGGCAATAAATTTCGCCGAATTGTTGAACACACGACCATCGGTAACGCTCGTCCTTTCACGCCGCCTAGGACTTGGTACGGCAGTATAGTCTTACAATTCACATTTTCTGACGAATTGGGGTGGATAGTTGAACGCTGTGTCCGGCCGCGGTGGCCTAATCCTTACATGCCGCCAAGATATCCGACCGCTCATAGACCTTGATCATACTCATCACTTTGCCACTTTGCCCCTCCTCCAGTCCATTTCCCCTGCATCCCAGAGCCACAGTACTCATGCAATAGTAGCGGCTGGGTGCTCCGAAGGTCAGAGTAGGCGTAGTGAAACAAGGGCCTGTGCTCTGGCGCCAGCGTCTATTCATCGTCAATCGTTTGGGCACACTGCTGGGTGAGTTTGAGCGGATGGTGGTTGCCAGAGCGTTCAACTTGGGTCTCTGTACCCCTCGGCCTAGATGAGGTCCATCCGCACTGCTGTGCATCTAATATCAAACCTTACGGCGTTGCCAGATCAAACTCAACCTACGCGGAGTATGACTCCAGCCCGAATCAGGCTGGAGCCATACACACAACGCCATTCATGCGCCTTCATCCCCTAACCATGCACATCGCTACTAGCCGCGATACAGCACCTCAGGCAAACTCTACGGAGTCGGATGCTCCCAACGATAGGGTAAGCAAAGTAGTCATCTTGAAAGTCGGTTAAGTGCTCACGAAGGATTATCAGGGCATGGAAGCTCACAGGCAGGGTACAAGTACAAAGCGCATTCCGCAAGTCAA